GAACGCGATCGTACAACAGCAGCTGATCGTGCTCGAGCCAAACTGTAATCTCCCATATTTAGTATGTCAGAGGTCAGATTACTGAGCTGAGTGTCTGGTGTAGCCGTGTCTGCAGATCTTTAGTGACGCCTATTAGGCGTGTATTTCGAAGACAATTTACCGAGTAAATTGAAAGGCAAGCAAAGTGGCAGTGGCGTTAAGAAAAAAAATAAATTTTAAAAAATCAAAATTTGTCAAAAAAAAAATCAAGATTATGATATGTATATAAGTTGTTAAAGACTAGTAAAAAAAAAAGAGTAGAAATCAAAGAAAAAACGGTACTCTATATTTTATTCTATTTTATCCTTTATTTATTTATTAAGCTTCTTTTTTTCCGTTTCTTTTTTTTCTTACAACCACTGAAGAGCTTACAACCACTGAAATAGCTGCCGCCTCTCAGAGCGCAAAAATCCTAACGGATTGTAGCGAGCAGGGGCTGGTTAGCCGTTCTTAACGGGAAACTTTGGCTGCCTCAACGTGTGTGTATTTATTTTACCAGCTTGTTTCTGTGAGTGTCTGTGTGTGTATATGTGTGTATGTGTTTCATCTGAAAAACCTTTTTATCATACGGTTTCTCAGAATGTACTCTGCTTATTCTACAACATTAACATTGCCCTCAATTATGTTTCTTTGATTTTTTTAAACGTATCTGTGTGTTTGTGTGAGAAACTTAACAATAGTTTGCATTATCAAGGGAACAAAACATTTTTGTTTTTGAAAGAGGGCAGAAGAAGATGATGAAAAAAAGGGGAACAGCAACATAATATTACGGTTGAATAGACCAGTAGAACAGAAGATAAGAGGTGAAAAAATAAAGGAAAAGGTGAGAACTCACAGCTGTTCCGCCTCACTTCTTCGGCAAAAATCAATTTTGAAACTTCATATTCACGTTGGAAAAAGATCAGAAAACATAAAACTTAGATCAAATTCCTTCTTTTAAAGATCTAACCAACAATACTTTCACTTACATTAGTAGCGGTTGTTGCTGCCGTCGCACTTTTTTTCTGTTTCTCTGCCTCTTCACAGTGGTTCACTATGAAAAGAATTGTTGACAGAAACTTCTTTTTGAAACAAAAATCTAAAAAAAGCTAGTAAGCGAAAAGAAACAGCTGAAAAATTCCAGCATATTCTAGTTGCAACTTCTGCTTAACACCTTCACAAAAAACTTGACCATAATTCGTCGGAATCTTTTCAGCCATATTGACTGAACGTATCTGCCGCAAAAATGAATTGAATCATCACTTCCTCACAACACCTTGGTTCTCTGCATTTACTACATTAAGAGCCGTATAAGTGTTTAAATGCGGAACCATTCTGACGGTCATCGCACTGCAAAGTTTGAAATTCTTATTTTTCATTATTATTGTAACAATTTTAAAAATTCAAGACAGCAAAAATACACAACATAAAAAGCGAAATTTTTAATAATAATGATAAACTTAGGAATTAGTGAGTATGGTCAATATACAGATGGTCTTTGCTTTTGTCGTCTTCACTTGTCATCTATCAAAAAGCGATTCAACAGCGGCATAATCAAATTGTTAGTGTTCAACTAAATAAAAATTATTTGTCAATTTCTTGCTTATCAAGAAGGCAATAAAAAGCTTATAGATAAATATTATCCTTATTGGTGGTAGCACTCGATTATTCTTTGCTGATAGCCGCTGTTTGCTGTCTAATCCGTACATCGACGGTCGTATCAGATAAATAATTGCATAAGCAACCAACAACATATCATTTCACTTGTGTTGTCATGTGCACCTTCCTGGTTTGTAGTCAAGGTGATTCTTCACTTATTTTCTTGTCTTTTAAGAGAAAAGGCAGGATATCTGTTTACCTTATAGATCAATGTCTCGGAAAAACCGAGGTGTACGAGATACAGCCAAAGATATTATCCTTGGACTTGAGTAAGAGTATTACTCTATTACTTGCCTTTTTTGACCTCTTCTGCAACGACTAAAATAATTGCTTGATTTATTGTCGAAAACTCAATGTAACAATCTTTTGTGGTCATTTTTCGCTGCAAAAATCTTTTATCTCTTTAAGTATCGTCAAAATTTATGCTAAGTAACAACATTAACAAAACAAAAATACTTTTTTTTTGTTTCAATATGAATAATTGATTCTTGTCAACTTTCGACCAACTTACCATTATTTATCAAATATTTTATTTGTGGTTCTTCCAATAACATTGTTTTATAAGTCACAAAATGAAAAAACTTGCTTTTAACTTTTTGCAATACTGAAACTATGCAACAAAACAGTAATTTATTTTGTCTGTTTTCCATGATTAATATGCAAGCATTCATCACTTTTATTGCAGACCTTCGGGTAGTGGACCCCGGGAACCTCGCGGTGGTTATTTGTATCGTACAGAAACTGCCGCAAAAGTAAACTCTCTCAATTAGTTTTCTTTCGTGTACAGTTCTATTCTCTTCCTTAATTAATTTCACTTCAAGAAACGTTTTTTCAATTGAAAAAAAATTTTTTTAGATATACTTTAACAAAAAAAATTTTAACAGAAACTTATAAGATAAACTGTAGCAACAAAATAACCCTAAACAGATTGTATCTGAAATAATGTTGAAGAATTTTCTGTTATGATTGTTCAGTGTTCTTATCAGTGCCAGCCCTCTGGCTAAATGTTTAATTGTTTTAATGAGAAATGTTTTTTTTCAGCCATCATCCAGCAGTTTACAACCAATAATAGTTGAAGGTGCTGATCCTTCGAAAGTAAATCGCCTTGAAAACCGTCTTGAATCCCTGCAGCGGAAGCAGAGTGAACTAGTAAATTCTGAAGCGGTAAAACGTTTAAGATTTAAGAATTTATTACTCATTTTATCATTTGTTTTTAAATTTCTGCTATTGGCAACAGCATTAATCAGTATGTACAGTCACTTATACCGCCAGCAAAGATCAAATACCTGGACCGCTATAATATAATAAAACTGTTTTTATCCCAAAAGCTCTTGACAAATTTTACAAAATAAGCTGAAAAATTTTGCAGGAAGCAAGAAGAAAACTAGAAAAAGAATGTGACGAACTACGAAGAAAACTTTATTCTAACGATCTGTAAGTGGTCAAAGTTAGTCAAATTATAAGTACAGTAATTGTTATGTTGCTGTTTAAGATTATGCTTTATTTGATCATTCAGACATATAACATTCTTAGAATCAACGTGTAGATAACACAGAGATTCACATTACATATTTTTAAAATTGAAACTACCGAATTTGCGTTACAGGTCGAGAGATTTAGATGAGCTGAGAAGACAGGTAGCGGCTTTAGAAACAAAGGTGTCTTCCTTTCTTTTGAATATATTATGTTGCAAAAAAATAGATGTTTTTCACTACCTTTTAAACTTTAAGTTTTCTTATATATGATTGCAATTATTTATAATTGCTTTATTTTTGAAACACTTATTTTACATTTATTAGTTCGTTAAAAAGAATTTGGTAAAACAGTAAAAAAAAACTGAATGTTATTGTTTCATATTTTTTTAACCATTAAAATAAATAAAGCCATTCTATCAGTTGCATTTTATTCAGGTAAGATCATTAGCACAGGAAGTGGCAATTACGAAAGCTGCAACTGAACAGCTCTCAAAAAGTCAGGTATACAGAAACGAAGAACGTACACGTTATACAGGAGACCAAAATGTATGTAGTTTAATAGTTGATGATACTGCATCTGTTTTTTTTAAGCACCTCACTATTCACCTATTGATAAATATCGGCATAAAAACGCAATATTATTTTTATTGTTAAATTCTTTTGTTTAGAAGTCAGTTAAATTTTTTTACAAATTTAACAATATAAAAATGAAACCATCTTTATTTACAAATAAATAATGAGAAAATTATTTATAAAAATTAGTTTTTGCAAGGTGAATTTAGCGCTTGCTTATTGTTAACAGTTGTCGACTGAATAATAAAAAGAAAAGGTGATTTAAAGATAAGCGACGAAATACACGACAAATGACAAAGCCAGTCGTTTTTATTTAGAAATAATATTGCATCTCTGTAGTCAACCAGTTAAATTTTTATTTTGCTAACATTGATTAGTTAATATCAGTTATCAGAAATAGTTTTGAAAAACAGCAATGCATTTTTAAGCATAGACTTGTTTTAAAACGTTTAAATGGCTACAAGAGTGTCGATTTTATATCAAAAAATAATGTTGCTGTGTCGAACTACTTGAAAGCTTGCGCAAAACCAGAATAAAGGTCTTAAAAATTCAAAAAGAGTTACAGAATTTTGAAATAAAAGATACTTTTGCTTAAAATTTTTTATTATAATTGCGCAATGTTTTTGAATGGCTTAATGTCAAAAGCTTCAGAGAACAGCCACCCAAATAAATGATTTGGCTGATCAGTTATCCAAGCTGAAATCTATGTTTGATGACCAAATTTCTCGAAGAGCAACAGATTCGCAAAATAATGCAAGCAGGTGAGTTTTATAATCGTCAGCTACGATTTATCATTAATGCTGTTGCGCATTATCATTATATTCTTAACATGGCTTTAATTTTAGCATGAGTTATATGCAAGAAAGTATAATGAAGGATTTAAATAATAAAACAAGTGCAATTAGCGATAAAATAGCCAAAAAAAATCGTGAATTAGAAGAACTTCGCACGGAAACAACAAAAATGGATGAAAATTTTCAACGTCGGCTATCAGAACTGGAAAAAAAAATTAACGACGGCGAAGCACGGTATAAAGACAATTTCAGACGAGAAAAAAGAACACTTGATAGTGTTAGCGTTTTTTAAATTTTATTGACTCTTCTGGAATAAATATTAGTGTATTTGCGCTTAACGTCTGCTTGAAAATTTCTTCGTTTAGGATTTTCGTAACAACCTAAGTTCACAAAAAGAAGCTATTGAAAAGCTTCAGGCAAAGGAAGGAAGAGACATGGAAGCATGTACGAAATCTGTTCAGGACCTTAAAAACCTTTTTGAAGTAATCCTTAAGTTTATTAGCTTTTGTAGGTTTGTAGTAAAAACATTCTTTTTTTTAGACTGAAAAACGTAGCGTCGGCGAACATTTGGAACAACTAGAAAAAGATTTTTCCAACTTTAAAAAGAAATTGAAAAGTGAAAGCGAAAAGCTAAACACAGTTCTCACCGCAGATATCAAGACCAGGTCCTGTGCGTTGCAGCATTTCTTCGGATATAAACCTATTCTAATGATATTATTCTGCCACTTGGAAAGACACTTTGTTGTCTACGTAAAGAAAGGTCTCTTAAAGCAAACGAGTGCTGAAGTATCTATTTTTATTTTAAGTAGTGAGAAATCGATCAAGCCAAAAAAAAGTATGAAAATTTTTAGTACAATTTCAATTGATGAAAATTACTGCGTAAATGAAAATGCTGGAAAGTTCTAGGAATCTAAAGCAGTGTTGTAGTGAAGTGGTTTGTTAAAAGGCACTCTTAGCAACTACTGCTGACAAGAATGTAGTAATAACCATTTATGATGTCACTGTTTCGTAAACTGATTTTTTTAAAGAGCTTTCAAACAGAACTAATTTTTTAGAAGGACTCATGAGAACGGAATTCTTGCGAAAATGGATTATATGGAAACTCAGTTACGAGAATACTTCGATTCATTAGCAAAAAACATGAATCAGTCATCTGTCAATTCTAAGGGTGCAACACCTGATCTAAATGCTGTCTGTATACACATTTAATGTTCTTTTAATTATTATCTGTTTTGAAATAAGCTACAATTTAATTAAGCAGCCAAAAATAATTGTCTGAGTCTGGTTTTTGACAGTAGTAATCAAGTATCAATCAAAAAATTAAATTACATCATACTAAAACAAACTCGTCGATATTTCCATTTTTTTTGAACAACAAGGCTTTAATTCGTTTGGTAAGTTTTGATTAAACTGGCAAGTTATCAGATTTAGCTACGTCGAGAAATGGAAGGTATCGCGGCTGATAAAAGTAAAATGAGCATGGAAGGACTACTGAAACTTGAAGAAAAAATACGTAAAATAAATAAAGGTTTGCCATTTTCGTAGTTTTACAAAGCAGTGTTAAAACTGTATAAAAATTTTCTTCTATGGTTTTTATTAGGCTGTCAGCTAAGTTCAAGTGTTCTTTTTTGAATTCTAATATTTGCCTTATTTTGCAACTTTAACAAATGTTTAAAAAATCATTTTTAAACAGAGATTAACAACTGATATATCGGCAATGTATTCTTCCTGGTTGCTTACAACTTTTTCATTACTACAGCAAATGTTAAAAGCCGCATTTGCAGCTTTAGAACACTGATTGAAAGCAAGGAGAAAGAGGTGTCAAATATGCCTACACTTTTTTTTACTTGACGTTCCATCTTTAGTTCCCTGGAATCCGAAACCGACAAAAAATATATATAAATTTTGATGAAACAAAACATATTCTATCAAATTTTTTAGAAAACTATGTTAAAAGTATTCAGTAAGACGCAAAATGTTAAAGTTAAACAAAACTACAGTAGACTTAGCTCTCAGTAGTGTTCAAAGACAGATTATTCTTTTACTCTTATACTGTGGTAAGGAAATTCAAGACAATTTTTGAATAAAGGCTTTTTAGCCAATTTGCTTCACTGCTTATAGCAATACGTCACATGAGCTTCTTAGTATCTTCAAATCAAAAGGTGCTTTTCTTTTGAGAATTACAGTTAAATAGTGCAAAAAAATTAATGTGTATTTATTTATTTGAACAATTTCTTGCCTTTATCTACAGAACTACAGAATCATAATGAAGTTTTCAGAGAGACTTTCTTCTGTTTTATCTTTCAAGCGGTAATCTTACCACACCGCAGTAATAAAAAATAGCTCACCTAGGTCATTCACCCGTATCAAAAATATATTGCAACAACGCTTGTAATTTAGATTTATTCTTGCCATTAACCAATACAGCGTAAAAAAAAGGTAATTCAAAAGTAGACAGAACACTTTTACTGCTTCAGACGTACCTAAAGAGTAGTATATAAAATAAAGTTTATGATGCGAAATGTTAAATTGTGCACGAAAGCGAGCTGGTGAACAAAAAAAAATTAAGAGTAAGTAGCCGAGTAAAATCAATAACAGTAAGAAATTGACGGTTAAATTTCTTCACAATATTAGTTCTTTGATTTATAATATAGCTTTTTTCCTGTTCTTGAAATGTTTTACGAAAAAAAAATGTAATTATGAAAGTTTTGGTTTACTATTATTTCGTGTTAATGCCGGAAAGTCTTAAGCAGGAAAAACTATGACTAATCTCTAAAAAGAATTCTCAAAACTTACACATATAAATCACTGTATAAACACTTGCAACGACAAAAAGCTTCAGTTTATTCTGATTGCAGATTTTGCGCGAAATAATAGAGAATTTCAAAAGAAACTGCAAAAGGCAAATGAGAACGAATTTACGGCAAACTTGAAACGTGAAGTGGCAAAGATAAACAACTTGGAAAGAGAAATGGAAGATACTAGACGAAAGCTTACTGAAAAAATAGAAACGCAAATACCACAAGACGTATGGACGCTTTTGTTAAACTAAAAAGGAGAAGTAATACCGTAATAGTTGGAATAATTTTATGATATTTTCAGTTGAACGAATTAACAGCAAAAACCAATCACATTAAACAGCAGTTAAACGAACGTATCGATAAAGTGGAAGAAGAAAAGTGAGTTCTTGCAGTTATTTGCCTTTTCCACTGGTACAACTTTTTGAAAGCAATTTTGAAGATATCAGTCACACGACCTAAAAACTGCTGACAAAATTTTTGGATATCTTTTTAGCCAGAAGAACAATCAAGCTGTTATGTAATTTTGCATTTATACTTTTTCCTTAACGTATATAACTACGTTTACACGGTGTTTTTAGCTTTCGAGCTGTCAACGATCTTCGGGAGAAACAAAACGCCAGAAACGAGGCAATGCAAAATCGTAATCGATCAGTCAGCGGTAATGCAGGTGGTAAAAGGTCTAATTCTGACCCAAATAGGACAAGCGCTAGCGGGAGAAGACCAAACTCTGATCCTAGCAAACAAACCGCATCAAGAAGTGATCCCGAAACTAGTTTAGCAGCAATAAAGGTATTTCTTCAACAGCTGTCACCAAGTATTCGACATCCTCCTGCGTTTTTAAATAGTTTGCTATCAATTTTGAAATCCACTAAGCATAACAGCCATCGGTCTCTATTTGATCGCATGTTTGTTTCAGCCGTTAAAAAAAGACTTTGAACAGTATAAAATAGCTGTTAAAAAATTAGCCGAATCAGTTACAACAGTCAAAAACGTTTTGGAGCGGAAAATTGTGGAAGAGAAGGAAAAGGTAACCTGATTTAAATACCGCCAATTATCCAGAACAAAAAAATAGTTTAAAATTGATGAAAAGATTACTTTATATTTCTAGCAGCTTTTTAACTAAAGAATTAATAGATTTTTTAGTTCATCAATATACTGTATTTGGCGATTAATGAGATAAAAGTACAAATTAACTGTTGCAGTAAGAATAATCAAAAATTTCTGTTGTTTTAATTTAATAGTTTAAACGTGCTGCATACTTTTACTTCTTTGTAGTTATATATCAATATCTGAGGCAGTATAGAAACTTAAGTTTGAGTTGAAGAAAGACTTCTAAAACTAAACGAGATGTACGATGCCAGTGAAGATGTTAACTTGTCAAATGACCCGAAAAGTAAAAACATTTACATATTTTCAGCGTGAAAAAGCCGTTGAAGAATTGGCTTCGGTGGTGAACAAAAAGCCGGCGCAAAATGCTCAACCTAATGCAAAACAAAAATAACTGCTGTATCTGCATGGTCAATATTCAAAACTCTTTTGTCAACGCGTTTCTTATAAGTTTGAGTAGTTTATCTACTGAAGGATATTGATGAAGCTGTGAGCTAATGTTCACAGTTTATTGCTATCTCCGTGCACACTATCTTTTCAAGATATTTTTCTGTTAGGCACAGTAAGAAGTAGACCTTTCAGTTTTTTTTTTTT